AGTTTTGCGAAGGTAATAAACATTCATCTTGCGTCTTTCGTCAGTCTCTCTTCAACTATTCTAAACCAGTTTTCATGTATTACAACCGATCACATGCTGTATTCAGTTTCTAGGATTCATCTGTGGTTTTTTTAGTGATAGCTCATACTATTTAAAATATTTAACCTTTATCTCTTAAAATGACATGACGTATCTTGCTACATAGGAAAAGATTAGTTTTTTTAACAATTGTTTCTGTTTGCCTTTCTGATCCCTTACCATATTCGTCTTATTTTTACCACCACGACTGTAAACGCAGTTGTTAGGCCTATGGCCCTTCAAACATCACGTGACAAGACCATTCATCAGAATACTGACTTCTTTGAAATTGAAATAGTGATTATTTAAGATCAAGCCAACAGTGGCTGCGAGTATGAGATACTGTAGCTAATATATTCTGAATAATTTGAGAATTGTTAATCGTATGACAGTAGCCAATCGGTCAAGTGGTATTATGATCAAAAGAGAATATGAATACACATGTTATTTAGTCACTTATTAATCTTGCTAAAAAAATACATGTGAGAATGGCATATATATAATACCTGGGAGGTTCCATTCATTTATTTTTCGTTCGGATGTGCATTTTTTACCCTACATATCACATGTCAGTGACTTATTTTTGTCTGAATACAAATATCGATTTACGTTCTGTTAAATGGAGTTGGCTCGCATGCTTTCTACTATCCTTCTCACTCTCACTTCTCTATGTGTTTGTTTTCTGAGCGCTCGCGAATCTTTACTATTCATTAGTAATATACTATCTGTACAACTGGTGATGTGGCTACTGAATAATCTCGAGTTAACTCATAATTCTATTAGATTCGGCCGGAGTAAATACACAGCAAACGGGATATTATTTATTGGAATCAGATATAGAGAACATTAACCCCTAAAGTTTTTGGTCGAAGTAAACTTTAGTTTTCTCAGGCTACAGAATGTCCCAGTTAGGCACATCAAGCTTTAGTACTAGGACCTGTACTTTTTTTACTTATATAAATGACCTTGCTCAGAAATATCGTCTGATTTATTATTATCCGCTGACCACGTGAAACTTTGGAGATAATTTCGAACCATAATAATAAGCTAGTATTTGAAAAGGACCTGAATCTACTCCAAAGTTGGCCATTTAAACACTTCAATGTATAAAGTAGTCCATATGGGATGCATCTCAGACTACGCATACAACCAACGTAACGTTTTTCTAGTAGTGTCACAAGTTGAAAATGATCTAGTTCTGATGCTTAATGATCTAAGTTCCGTTCGCAAACCTTAACGGAAATGCCTTTTCAACCAAACAATTCACTGGTAATATTGAAGCACAGTTTTAACAAGTTTGACAGTAAAAGGCTCTATCTAATCCTTAAAGTTTTATTACGCTGCATTCAGATTACGACAGCAAAGTTTATCACCCTTCGCTCCTAAAGGGTAACAACACACTGGGGCGTATCCCAAGGAGAGCCACGAAAACAAACTTTATGAAGAGCGCCTCAAATCAATGGGTCTTTCAATAGGAAACTTTCGAAATCATGTCAGTATGTCATTGCCATTTAGTAATATTTCTCTTTATATGGTTAAATATACCTAGGTTCCTACCTGAAGGTATCGATGATGATGTAATACTAAATGAGGATATACGGCGAGCCAAAGCTTTCTTTATTCAGTACAAAACCATTTGAACTTTAATACACCTAAGCTGCTGGGCGAATAATCTGGTAATATTGAGCTAATTCAGTTCGCAGCGCAAAATTGATTTTTGTGCATTTGCCAAGGTCGTTTGGTTGTGGCGTTTTGAGTATATCCAATGGATGTGCTTTAACGTTTTGCGGCGGTTGTCTCACTGCTAAGTAAATAAAGTAATTTTGCATCATGCGTTAAGCATTGAATTAAATTTTAATGTTATTAATTTTACCGAAGATTCCACAGAACCAATTTCGTCTTCGTAAAGAACAATATATTGTTCTTTACGAAGACGATATATCTGATGTTTGACGTTGCTGCAAGTATGTGCTTAGGATGATAAAAGACATGTAGACCATTTTTAAGAACATTTGGTATTACTATTAGACGTCAAACAATACTCCTAAGCTTTGCTTCTGTCATATACCTCTTTGGACGTTCGAGGTTCACGTTGTTGAAATTCGAATTTCATTGCATACAGATCTGCATGAAATGAATCATACATTTGACATTCTTCAAGGAAAACTCCCAATTTGTAACTTCGTTTGATGCATTCTAGGAGTATTGGTGTTTCAGTCAGCTTTATTGCTTAAAATAGCTCTAATTGGAGACGTTCACAGGTAATATGATGCTCACTGGTGCTAGTGTACTTACGAAAAAAGTGTCGTTACTGTGTTGACAAACAACTAGTATTCAGATCGATTTACAATGTGTTAATGGGGTTCTTGATGTTTATTAGCCAGCGACTAGGAAATTATATTCTCGAAAGAAATTCACATTCGACAACTCTATCATTATGCTTATCTGTGTCTCTTATTGTCGTAGTGTATCTCTGTTACTTTGTAATTAACAAGTGTTAAGGTATTTCCGTTGGTCAGTCACGCACTTGGTCATCCTGAAGCATGACTCAGTTGTTCCGTACAGTCCCCATTTAAGTATCTCTTGTATGGTTAGAGGTCTCGTAGTTTCGATAACAATAAATTTGGAGCAAATAATAAGTCGTTTGCCACCCTGAACAAAGCTCAAAATCCGGTTGTCAATTCATCTTTGCCACTACACTTTGGTACGGTTACTTTTACTTTCACTACCAAACCGAATATTATGTTGTCGACTTCTTCCTTATGTCCCACTGGTGCTGACTATTAGGGTTCACAAAATAGGACTTCAAATCTTCTGAAACCAAGCCTAAAACCACATTTTGTAGGTGTTAGGATTCAAACGCTGCGTCGAATTCAATATCAGGCACCCCAAGCTAAGACCCTAAAACCTCATGATCTATCTCAACTACGAAATATACTGGGTCCGTTTGCTCAACCTATCCAGTATAGAAAACCAGCGAAATATGCACATCATTCATCTGGAGGCTCAAAAACAGATGATCCTGGTCTTGCTGATGTACGTGAGGCACTAATTTAGACAGCACAACAGGCTCTCGTGGATTGGATTTCTGATGACAGTTGCTTATGTACTGTTCGTCTCAGCACAATGGTACATTGATAATTCGGAAAAACACAGACATCACTCTCTATTCGTCGTTTCTGCCTATACCTCCACTATCTGCACCTCAACTGGAGTAAAAGGCCTACTTTCCAAGATACTTCCTTGCCTTCAGCATACCAGGTGCTCAGACAGTATTCGTAGCAGGTGTATTAATAGTCCAAGTCAAATTAAAGAACATTTAGGTGGGTCTTTTGGCATCCCAACCCAAGTTATGGGTAAAAGTGACCGCCCCTCTCATTTATACTCAGGTAATTATTTATTCTTAGCAAGTAAAAGCTTTAAGCATAAGCGGAGACATTTGTTTACTAAGCACCCTCAACATCTGCACAACGGTGGATACGAGTGGATCATAACGCGATTAACTATCTCTGGAGAGGTCCGTTAGAAGAGACTAACTCTTAAGGAGCCATAGCTTATCAGGTCCAGATGATATACCTCCAGTTTTTCCTAAGAATAGTGGCGAACTTCTGATCAGGGAACTGAAAGCGTTGTTTGCAAAGTTTGGGGATTAAAAAGTGTCTCATTATCATGGAATAAAGTGGTAGTTGTTCTTATCCTTGAAGTTCTTACTTCACCTATGCAAAAACTATCAGGGAATAAATTTATTTTCGATTACTTCCAAAATATTGACTTCTATCATACTTCTCAGATTACTTAAGTCCATGAATGGTTAACTCTCGAGTAGCAGGCTGGTTTTCACTTTGGTCGAGGATATATTAATCATATCTTCACCCTCCGCTAATTGTTAGAGCGCCTTTTATGATAGTTTAATCGCTAATAGCAACATATTATTGCTTAGCGAATTGTTATTAGGGTTGGTGGTTCTTAGAATTTCTATAATGTGAAGATGAGTTCCACCACAAACTGACTTAAGTTAAGGAACTATTAAAATTCCATTAGTTGAGAAATCTTTTTTATGTTCAATCATATGACTTCTGATATTGATTCTCAATAAGATGTTTCTTTACAGATTGGTCGTGTTGAAAAATATTGACTTGTATAAAAAAACAGTGATTAGCTTTAAACAGCTACTCATTTAAAGTGGTTTTGTTACACTTAAGCTCAATTATTTAAAAAGTGAGAGTGAATATTTATTGACGAAATGTTAACCCAATAGATTGGTAAAATGTTTATAGTGAAGATGCGGATGTGGTATTATGACTAAAGCAGTTAGGTCTAAAATCCACTCTACTTACTGTGATTTAGATATCTTGGTAGTATCATTAGCTTTTGGAAAATAATTGTGACTGAAAGCCGATAACATGTATCTGAACTTGATAAGGTATATATTAATATATCATTAGTCATTAGATCTTGGTTATTTTGGATTTTATTGAGAAGCTTATTTAAGCATTATAATTTTCTAGTTAAGCAAATGCACATATTTAGATTTGAAAAGGATTATTATTACCTTTATCGCGATATGTGTACCCTAAAGGTGTACAATAAAAACAAACTTCTCTATTTTCTGATCAGTTTATATTCAAACCTTTTTCTTGGGCAAATTAACCACATTATGTCCGTGTTCATGCTATTAGTGTTCGTAGCTTAGTAGTTTCGAATTCATAAAATTGTACAACGTTTGTGTAAGGATTAGGAATTTCACAACAACTGGATCTCATGGACAAATGCATACATTGCTACCTTTTTACATATAATGATTTACGTTTATTATGTGTAGTCCAAATGTAAAGTTCATCTGTGTTATTATCATTACTATTATAATATAATTTTATTAAGCTCCTCTAGTGATGGATTTTGATGAATTTCGCTGAGCGAGTATGAATGCCCAAGCGGATCTTTGCGCCGACTGTAGTACATCATCCCCGAAATGGGCGTCTGTCAATAGAGGTGTACTGTTATGTGATGAATGTAGTTCCATTCACCGACAGCTAGGAAGACATATAAGCCAGGTTTGTTCTTTTTACGATTGGTCTTAATTAATAAAAAAGGTTAAACATCTTGAGAAGTCACGCTGGAGGCCGTCACAACTTTCTATGGTACGCTATTTGGCGTCTGCTGGTGCAAATGGGTATTGGGAACATGTACTGTACGAACCTATGCTTGCTGGGTTAAATTCAGATAATCGATCCAGCAAAGCATTTCATCCTCATAAAAAACCTTTACCTACTGATCCAGTGCATCCAACCAAAGCTGATTTTATACGTGAAAAGTATTTGTTTTTGGGATTTTTTAAGAAACCACGAAACGTTAACCATGATGATTTAAACCAGCAACTCCATGCTAGTGTAAGGACAGGAGTTTTAGAGACCAGTCTGTATTTACTTGCTTTGGTAAGTGATTGGTTTATTTTTCGAACGAAATTCCTGATTCAAGTTGTTTTACTCAAGTGTGTTTATCCGCTTATGTGATTTTTTCAGTTGCGTTGCCAGGTTAGCTGTGGAACAGCTACCCACGGCGACTGTGACAATTGAGAAGTGTTACTTATTTATGGTTAGTCTTAACATTAAATGTAGTTTGAAATAAAAATGGATTATAGGTGATAGATTTACTGATAGGGGTAATGTGAAGTCGACTGCATCTGTATGTTAGGCGGTTGGATGTTATTGATATCAGTACTTGAAAAATTTCAACATTGGTTGCAACTCAGTAATTAGTAAAGGTAAACATATATCACGATGCAATAATTCATCAGTGCAAATTGTCGCATTCTCAGAACGCACCCTTGCCTCCAAATGCCCTGGTACGGCCGAGGGTGGCGAGAGTCCACTCTCCCTCTCGAAATGCTCTCACATGGCCACGCGTATATAGCCTCTGCCAGGGAAGTCCTACTCACTGCCTTCTCGCACCACGGGTGTTGTTTACGAAACTGAGAGGACGAAAAGCGAATGTCCGGCGCTATAACCGGATCCCAAACCAATGGTGTACATGGGTTCCAGTATCCTGATGGAACAAATGGCGTATGAACCAGTCGTTGGTCACCGGCTACCATGGGACTGCATCTCCTTACGATGCTCTACTGCCTTGTGGGTCAGACATTCAGGTCGAAGGCTCGGGTGTGGCCCCCTAATAAAACCACCTGCTTCGGTTTGGGCACCCGGGCAGTATCACAGCCCTCACACATATCCAATGAGATTTTTGTGGCGCATATGTATTTGGTGCCTTCTTGTACCGATATCTATGTGTTAAAATAAATAAATAAATAAATAAATAAAACAGAACGCACCCTTAAACTCTATTTTCCAAAGCCTTTATTAGCGTGATCTGCTAGTCTTGCATTTGTCTGTGATGATTTGATTCCCCGATTATCAGCTGTTGAGTCTCAGACTCAGTTTCATTCTGAACAGCTGGATAGTGTTTTTACCTGTAAGATAATAAATATGACTCATAACGTAGCTGAGATATTATAATTGTAATCTGGGATGCAATATTTTTATCATTAGTTCAATAACCATTTCCCTGTTGAATAGTGTATTAGCCAATGATGAAAATCCGTCAATAGGTATTATAAAAAGCCAGGAATTTACGATATTATCTCAGGTTCACTGATTAATTTCAATTGTTCTCCACTCAGAAACAATGTTGTTAATTCCTGCTCTCACATGTTTCCTTTATATTACCGTATTCAAGAAACTGTATTTTTCACCTTTCTATTGGAAATATTTAGGGTGCAAATCCAAATTTTCTTCATCCAATCAAAGGCACAGCACCTATTCATGTTGCATGTCAATATGGTCAAATTGGTCAGGTAGAATTGCTGTTAGCCTATGGGGCAGATGTTTGTATTCGTGATTCATCTGGGAAAACCGTAATTGATGTAAGTTCTTACAAAAATGTTCTTTGATTGTTTTATTACTAGGCGTATCAACCGTTTATTTATGTGCCGATGAGATTCACTCATCCGGTTTTATTTGAACCTCTGGACTCTGATAGAAGGTATCTAATCATACAAAATGAGTAGGTCTCAGTAAGATCAGATGTCTAGTTTGAAAAGGCTCAATTAAGTCATCAGTCAGTCAGTCAGCTGCAACGTAGGACCAGGCACGTATATGCATCGGTCCAAGTTGCCATACCGCATTAGCACAACAAGATGAACACCGGATTCATAGAAGTAGTTAATTCAGTGGAGGTAATATATAGAAGAAAGATTGTGTATAAGGAGATAGTACAGGAATAAAGAATCGGTACGTAGGAAGAAAGATATGAAGCGGTTTTAATCTCTTGGGTTAGAGGAAGACAGAGAGTGTATACACCTGCGCCATTGTGATCGATTGTGAGCCATGTCACCAAGAGTCTCCAACCATTGGTTACGATAGTCACGCGGACCCCGACCAGGCAGTCTGAATCTTCCAACATGGCTCAGACCAGGAGTTAGTGACTTCAAGCACTGATGCCACGTTCTGGTTTGGCCTCCCCTAACTTTCTTCCAATTATCCCTAACACCGGGTAGCATTGTGCGCCGTGGTAATCGGTGTTCAGGCATACGCAACACGTGGCCCAACCATCTCAGTCGATGAAGATTCATAACCTCATCAACTGATTTACCATCATTCCATAGTACCCTGCGTCTAACCTCACTATTACTTACCCGGTGATTCCAGCAGATGCGAGCAATATTTCTAAGGCACCTGTGGTCAAATACTAGTAGCTTACGAGTATATTCTACTCTTAAAGGCCATGTTTCGCAGCCGTATAGTAGAACAGAATGAACTGCCGCGCAGTATACTTGTCCCTTAATTGATAGACGGATATCTCGCCTTCGCCATAGTTGACGTAAGTTGGCAAAGGCCAAGCGAGCTTTTCGAATCCGTGCTGAGATTTCGTCAGACACCAATCCATTAGGGCTGATCAGACTTTCAAGATAAGTGAAGTTGTCAACGCGTTCGACCACTTCACTCCCTATCCTTAGTTCAGGTTTTACGTAGATACTTTGTAATGTATTAAATAATAAATTGGTCATCCCCACTTAACTTTTTCGTTCACTACAACACTACATTAGAACAGTGAGACACCAGAGTGATATGAGTAGTAGCAGCATCATTGGTAAATTTATTTTATTTATTTATTTGAACGCATAAATATTGGTACAAAGGGGCACCGAATACATGTGCCACACAAGTCGCTTGATTTATGTGTGGGCTGTGATACTGCCCGGGTGCCCAAACCGAAGCAGGTGGTTTTATTAAGGGAGCGACACCTTGAGTCTTTGACATAAAAGTATAATCCACAAGGTAGTGGAACGACGTTATGAGATGCAGTCCCATGGTAGCCAGTGACCAACAATAGGTTCATATTCCATTTGTTCCCTCAGGATCCTGGAGCTCATGTGCACCATAGATTTGGGATCAGAGTTTCCCAACTCCTCTGGGTGAACTCTTCGTGTCCGCCAACCCGGTTAAAGCGCTGGACATTCGTTTTTCGTTCTCTCAATTTTGCAAACAACAGTAACACCAAGGGAAGGCAGTGAGTAGGACTCCCATGTCAGTAGCTGTCTACGCGTGGCCACGTGAGAGCATTTTGGCCGTACCAGGGCATTTGGGATCAGAAATTTTTAATGATTGTCTGTTTTGAAGTATAAACCTCATTATTACTAATCGAGCAGTTGTTCACGCAGTCTAACTTCACTTATAATCTGCCTTATTGACCTAGATCTGTCCAATATTTGTCGACCTTTAGATTCTGAGTTTGGAAATAAATTGTACTTGCTTTATTCCACAAATCAGTTGCTGTTTCTCAAATCATATATACTAATTTAGTCTAGTTTTCAATCTTACTATATTTGATAGTGCTACCGCTACTATTTCGGTATTCATCTTGATAATTTTGATGTTGTTGCGCGGATGTGATGTGTTAACTTGTACCGATAAACGTGTGTACCTAGGGATTCTACTTTGTTTATGATTGACTGACTGACTCTAATCAATTCTCAATGTGCTATGACCATATATATATATATATATATATTTCGGTTGTGCATGGATTCAACTATCAGCATTTCTTTTAGTTTTCATAGAATTAAAGTATTATATGATACAATATTTGCGACTGTAATAAGATTGATTGACGGTTAACCATTCAAAAGTGATTGTCAATGAATAAAACCTTCCAAAAATTGATTCACTATTTTCTATTGCATAACTATAAAGCGATACAATTCAGTGTAAACACTTGTTATTGAACGTGTCTAAATATTCTATTATTTTGTCCGTAGAGAGATAATTACGACCAGGCCTCTCATGACCAATCATATCAGTTTAATTAAAATTAAGAAATTGGAATGTTCGGAAAAGTCTGTAACGGTTTATTTAGATCTTGACTAATGAAAATTAACGTAAATTGTGTATGTTCGGTCCACATTTTAAATCTGTCAGATTCTAACAAACTACTCACTTTCATAAACTTGTTAAATGTAAGAGTAATAGGTTTGAAGAACATAGTAGTTTTTAATCAAGATGTTCAAATATGATGTTGGTTTACGAGGTCATCGATCTTTATTGTATGCAGTACACGAAAGTACCGGATTCACCTCTTCAGATACCTGTCCAAATTAAGTTAAGAGTAATTAAATAGAAATATGGTTAATATTAATAAAATTCGTGACTGTTACTTGTTTTAGTTTCTCGAATAATTTTTGTTTTTTTCAATCTCTTATTTGATGTATCACATTTTTCCATGATTTAGAGTAACAAAATAGTCAGGAGTAATACATGTGTTTTCTTCTTTATACCTGCTTATTTATACTGTGAATTAAGTATTTATAATCAAAACAAATGATGAATCCTATTTAAGTTGAATACCGAGAACACTGAAGAAAATTTCTAGAGCTTCATTCATCCTAAGTTATAGTTTATTCTCAATACTGTCTTCTGGAAGTTGTTCAGTTGATTACACGATATAATGCATGCCCTTCATGGTCTCTCCCAATATCGGTGTGTACATTTTATTTAAATGTTTGGTCACATGGAATTTAAACTATGAACATCTTAAGGATGCACATTATTGATGAACTTGACAATACAATGTTATCAACAAACCCCATGAGTTGTTTTGTTTTCAATTTGTCATTATTATTGTTTGATCAGCATACTCTCCACTAACGATAGTAAGTTTGTCTTTTGTGGTTTGATACTTAAAGTTCATAGGTTAATCGGTTGAACTCATTATGTGTATAAATAAAACTTTCCAAGTAGAAATAATTGTTGCTATGGACTCTAACTCATTGCTTCTAATCACCCTATTTTATGAATTATTTTAATTCTATTTTCAATGTTTTCTCATATTAATCCAATTTGAAATGGTTTATATTATCCCGTTGTTGATATTTTTGACTGAAATTTAATTAGTCTTGGTGGGTACGTGGGCATCTTGTTCAAATTATCTCGATATAGCTACTACAACACAAGTTGATATAAAATGGATGGGATGTGGCTAGCAATGGAATCCAGTATTGGGTATTAGCTAAGTGGATAACGCGACTCCGTTTTAAGTAAACGGTCTTGGGTTAGAGTTTCAGAATAAAAATCAACTATGGAATCCAGGTACATACATCTAACAATGTCATTTGTTCCTCTTTTTAAAGAATAAGGTTTCCTTACTTTTCTATGCAACACAGGATATTAATAGATTATATGATGTTTGTACACGTGACGAATAGCTTGCCAGTTTTAGAATCAGACTTTCTTATAAACATACTATTCATTTCTTTCTTTTTTGCTATCTCTCTTTCGTTCTCTTTCAGTTAGCATTAGACAAAGCATTAGCATTAAATGAATCGATTATTTCTAAAGAAAAGATGGTAACAATGTCAAATGAAGAGAAATTACAATCTGCTTGGTCTTCTATGGTTGATGTATTAGTTTCAGCGTATTATGATTTGACAGATAGTTTAGCTTATTTTCTTACACGTCATGTACCTGATCATAAAGCAGCTGTTTTTGGTGGAATCAATAAAAATATAAATCATAGTAATGAACTATCAGTGAATAATAATAACAGTGAAATAATAACAAATGGTCATTTCTTAATTTCAACTTCATTAATACATGAATCGAATGGTACATCATTGGCACCGAAATCAACGAATTTAAAATTAACTAATTCTTCTGGACAAACTATTACTTCCACTGCTACCTCAAATGTTGAACAAGCAGACGACCAAGAAGATTGGATCATTAAAGCTAGAGGAAGATTAAATAATCTATCTAATAATGCATTTATCGTAAGTTCTTTGTTTGTTTGTTCATTCGTTTTTCTTTCAAAATGTAAACTGTCTCGTGTTCTTCATACAATTTATCCCAATTTATAAACTTTAATAAAAAAAACAAATTTCGTAGTAGAATAACATAAATTCATTTATTTCATGGATTCTCCTCAGCTGCTTAAAACCTAAAACCATTAAAATGAAGTAACTGTACATACTTTATATACGAAATGTCTAGAATGAATTGAGTTAAAATATGTAGGTAGAATAATATTAAGAGATAATAATATGGTAAACTTAACATTATTCAAACATTCGCTTTACTCATAAGCTAAATATTTGAGTATCCTAGGTGAGCATAGAAATAGAAATTATTTTCAAACTGAAGATAGATTATATGATATAAACTAGTCGAGCAACTAATCTAATTCGAACTTAGTTGTTAGTGTTTTTATACCAAGTCAAATTCTTATTGCGACGATTAAATGTGGACAAATACCAGCTTTATTTTATTTCTGATTATCTTTACCAGTTTACATGTACGTTTCAAAGCACATAAAATGATTGTCGATGCATGTTAATGGATGAAATAATCTGACTGTTTCTGATTTCTTTTTTCTACTTTGATAATTATGGGCGAAATATCAGTCAGTTATAAACAACATCGAACCTGGTACATATTTGCTTCGCTTCAAGTTGCTATACCACAATGGGCAGTACAGTAAGATAAAATTATCAAAGCAAATCCTAGGGTAGAAGAGTTAGTAAAAGTATCATTGATACTAGAAAACATTGTGGATGGACAGTATGACTCACGAAAAAAGAATTGATTTGTGGAATAGAAATAAAAGTATTTTAAGGGAAATAATAAATATCTTGACCATTGAGAGCGGTTCTGAGTCATGTCACCTAACGCCTCCAGCCACTGGTCACAATAATCTCATGGATCATAATCAGGTCGTCTACACATACCTATACAACTGACTCCTATAGTCAATAACTCTACAGACTGATACCACTTCTCAGTTTAAGCATTTTTTTGAAATACGTTTTCCGAATCGTTAGCAAGCAACAATGGAATTATATTAATATAATTGTCTTAGATGCCTTACTCTTACGTTGGACATCTGTGCGATTAAGGTTAGACCTTTCAATTATCATTAGTCATAATTATGAGGCTGTGTATTACAATTGTGAGGAAAAGCAGTAATGTAAATGTGTTCAGTTCGTTACACTAAATGGAACCAGTATCCAGCGCCTCATAGAGTGTTAACTAAACAAATACTCGCACTCTTTCACTATTGCACTGGATTGTTCCTTTAGCCATTTATTTTCTACTCCAAAATATTAGTGTAAGCTGTGAATACATTCCCTAGTTTTATGTTTTGAAGAAGTAAGTAAATTTCTCTACAATTTACTTATATTCATGTTTTGATAACCTTGGACTGGATTGGTCTTTTGTAACTAGAATCTGGTGAATTATTCAATGCTATTATAGGAAATGAAGAGCTCAGGCAGGGAAAGACCAATTTATTAGTTAATGCAAAGTTACAGAATGTCTTGGTAAAATACTGAAAGCCATACATTAAATACTTCATTTACACATCTATTAGTTGTCTCTTACAAAACTTCATCATTTCTTCCTTCCTTTTGTTATTACAATTGAAAGTTTTTAGGGTTACCTTACAATAAGGGCTCCATGATCGAATAACGTTAATTCAAAATTATATGATAGCGAGTGTTAGTAAACATAAAGTTTACAACTACTAGCTTATTATTATCTCCATCTCCCGGAAATAAGCATACAATTTGGTATTATCATAACTCAAGTAGTTTGATAAATAACGCGTTGATATTTGAAACAATAAGTACTGGGTTTGCGTCTTATCGTGAACAGCAATATTAGAATACAATTACATCCAACTGACAGGATCCGAACAGGATGAAATACGCTTCCTGACCTTTATTGCTACTCATTTCAAATATGTGATACACTGTATAATATCAAATCATCTGCTCAAAGAATCTGTGTATCAACATAGTCTACTTACTTACTTACTCCTGTTACCCCTCATTGAGCGGCGCTTGCTTCGTGATGCAGTTTGTTGATTTCCTCAATTTATATCCTATCCACTTCTAGCATCTTTTCCAGATTTTCTCCTTAGCTGAGACCTGGTTTGTTCTCTCGCACAGGTAGTTCTTCAAGTTTCAGCTCCGTAGAGTAGAACTGTCTTAACGTTCGTATTGATATTGGTTGACAGTTCCATATGTTCTTTAATTGTAGAAATGCTGACCTTACTTTGTTTATGCTTGCCTTTACATTTGCATCGGATCCTATTTGTTCGTCACTAATGCTGACAATAATATATATATATACATATATATATATATATATATATATATATATATATATATATATATATATATATATATAACGTTTGAAAGCCAACAGTATACATAACTACCTCAATTTCATACTTTACATCGCGGATTCATCTTAAACAATCATCAAAAACCAGGGAGCATTGGTCAGCTGTTCCATCTTAGTATAGAACTTGTCTTGTTCATCCAATGAAAAAGAATAACCGTAATAAAATTAATAGAATATTTGTTAGTGAGATGTAAGTTTTTAGGTCCCAGTCAAGATAAATCTACGCCAACAGAAACAACTAATCAATTGAAGTTGTTTGTATTTACAATTTGAAGAATAGGCAAAACTATAAGAACAATGCCTTAATATTTACTGCTACATTTCATAACTAAAAGTTTAACTATACGAACGAGTCTATCATTAAGAAATCATATATCGAACTGAGATGATAATTATCATTTGGATAATTATTAATTTCAGTGAAGAATCGAATTGAATCGCATATCCATTGCACAAGTGATTGGTTGTATGAACTCGGTAGCTAAGTGAATAGCACGATGCCATTTGAGGTAAACGGCGCTGGGTTGGAGTTCCGGAGTGAAAATCAACTCTGGGATTCAGGTACATCCATCTAACGAGTTCCAAACAGAACGAAATGCATGTCCTGGATTTCACTGTTAGCTGCATTTTATTTGTTCTATATCAGTTTGTATCCTAATAGCTTTATCTAGGTAATCCCGTATACCAACCAAGACTGAACAAATTTAAGTCAAAAATAACGGGATAACCTAAACCATTTCAAATTTGATAATAGAAACTAGTGATAAAACCGAATTTTTAAGGAATTAATTCATGGACGTCCGTGTAAACATATGGGGTACATGGGAAGTTATATGACAAACCAAAGAAGTACTCGATAAGGTGATAACATTTTGATTATAATGTGAATTAGTGAAAAAAATCAATTAAAAAAAAGAGAGAAGTGTTTCATTATCCCTTCAAAGTTGATAATCAAATAAATAATTCTTTTTGTAAAAAAGTTACTGAATCTATTCTAATAAACATATAAGAATAATTCACAGTACAAGTGTTTAAATTCTGATGAAATAAGAATAAACATTACAAGAGTGTATATTATAGACGTGAAAATGTTTTTGAATCATCTATAACTCTATTTACAACCATACTAACAATTTCTAAGGAAAGATACATTTAGATCTAATGGATAATTTATTTTAATGAATTATCAAACTATTTAAAAGCACATGTATTAATAATGTTTAAATAACATATACTTTGTAATACACTCGATTTTACATTCAAAGTTAGTTGTTCATGTCTTTTGGGTCTTTTTTTTTAAATTCACTAAAAACAATAAAGATTTTCATAGTCTTTTTTTATCGCTTACTTATGTTAATCTTAATACTTCCATTTAACCGAGTTGATTTAGTGTGGTCTTACGCTGAAAAAACCATGTGCTTGATCATGATGTAGTCAAATTAAAAACTTACATTAAATTATATTTTTAGTGTTTCAATCAATACTTTTATTTCTCCTTAGACGTTCCATGTTCACATGTAACTTGAATTTAATTTCACTTTTTCGGTTTTGTCCAACAAATAAACTTTCTTTTTAAATGGATGGCGATAATGTTTGAAGCGAACGGTACTGGGTTCGAGTCCTTAAATGAATATCAAAACTAGGATGCAGGTACATCTAACTGATGAGTTTCAAACAGGACGGAATATGCGTTCTAGATTTCACTGCTAGTTACCATCTCTCTTTGCTTATAAATATTTGTGTATATTAAAAAAATCAAAGACTTCTCTTATACTAATTGTAAGATAATAAATTCAATCTTCAATCATGTGAAAGAAACCATTTTTGACAGACATTTTGGGCTAGTTGTTTTTTTTTCTATTTTTATTCATTTCATTGTAACGCGATTCGATTACATTTTGTAATTTCCTTATGAAAAGTACGTCAAGTTCAATTCGTTATGCAAGCACTAAGGAAAAAGTTTATTTTAAATTATAAGTAAGTTTACAGGATAAATTTAATATCTGTAAGTAGTATTTACATTGAAATGAATATGTTATTCATACATAAATGAAGTTAGACGACTGAATAGAATACTGTACAACGATTTCTTTTGTAACCACTTTTTTTATAAATTTTGAAGTACACAATAAAATACCTGGTTTGTTTTTTAATCTGAATCGTGTTTTTTTCCTTGATTACAGGATTTATGTATTGATGTATATGATGAAGCAGATCGTCGTTTAACAAATTCATTTCTTGAAAATCTGGATACATTTAATAATCAGAAACATTTAACCAACTATTCAGTATTCAATGGTTCTCATGTTAGCAAAACTGATGCGGACGACAACAATGACAACAACAACATCAGTACAAAGAATGAACTACATAATAGTATAATTAAAGAGACCAGACCTGGCTGTAGACCATCTTTACATAAGACAACAACGACAACACTACGTCAAACATCTGCAATTACTAATTTAACGCTATTTTTTCTACCTCCAAATACAACTTATTCATCAGTACGTAATCAAGCACGTCAAAAATTAGGTCGACTATCTACCATTGAATTTCATACTTTAACACTAGATGTTCTCACTGAAGCATCGATACGTTTATTGCCATTATTTTTACCATTGACCAATGTAATAAATCCGACTGGTACAGCTGTTACTGCTCCAGCTACAACGACTGTTGAGATGTCTTTCAAAAAATCAAGAAAAACACAGCATTCATATACAGACTATTTTAATACAGATAAACGACAACAATTGAATGAATTTATTGTTGCGCGTCGCAATGGTCCTTTACCATCATTACCCTCACCTAAGATAAAAGATAATCATATAGATGATGTTGAACGTTTACATAGCACTAATAATAGTGATGGTAGTAGTAGTCCATGTGATAATTTAAATAAACAATTAAATAATGAATGTAATGATATTTCACAAGAAGCATTGATTTCGGAGAATTTACCAGATCATGAAAATTTACGATTAGAAATGTCATCATCATCACCACCTCAGGTGAATGCAAAAAGTGAACTTTTATTAGAGAAATTCGTTCGTCCTCGTGATGACCCTGTATATGATCAGGTAAGTAGTAATTGTAGAGGAAAATCTCGTCACTTTGTTTAATTACAGTTCTCTATTTCTATTTGTTAGTTTAAACCCATTGTGTTGGACATCTAACCTGAAAATAGTTAATACGTTAAAAGAACAATTACATGTTTTATTGATCAACAAATACAGAAAATTATGTTGCCTTCAAGGTTAATGAATGCTCTCAATGATGAACTAATCATTAATAATTTGTTTTCACATCATCTGTATTCATTCATTCATTCATTCACTCACTAATTAATTAATTAGATGAGTCGTTACACTTCACAAAAGTACAGTAAAAGAAAAAAACTGAGTAGTTAAATATCAAAGAAATCATGATAATGGTAATATCAAGGTTAGTGAAATTCCCTGGTACGGCCGACTATGGGGAGGTTCTGCTTTTTCTCCCGAAATACTTATGAACACGCGTATATAGCCACTGTCAGGGAAGTCCTACTCACCACCTTCTCGGGATGGGGGTGCTGTTTACGAAGTTGAGAGGACAGAAAGCGAATGTCCGACGCTTGGATTGCTTTTGTGGCTATAGACGATTCATCTAGTGGAGTTGGACATGGGTTCCAGGATACTAAGGGAACATATGGCATATGAGCCAGTTATTGGTCACCGGCTATCATATGACCGCCCCTTTAACGTTGCTCCATTGCCTTGTGGATTAGACTTTTAGGTCAAATGTTCTGGGAGTAGCCTCCTAAGAAAACCGCCTGCTTCGGTTTTGGGACCCAGGGAGTATCCCAGCCTACACATAATTTATTTTTGTGGCGCATATATATTTTCTTGCCTTTTTGTACCGATGTTTTTGTGTTTATATACATGAAGAAATAAAAGGGATAAAGACCACAGTTTGAAAAGAACGAATGCATTTATGAAACGGAACATATGTAATGATATTGAAGATTAGTGTTTAGATGAAAATTAGGAATGAATTTATTTCGCACCATTACGATATATCTTAATTTATGCCATTTAATATCTTGATCGATTGATCTTGATTATCTCTCGGAAATTCTGCATCACTCGAAACAGTTCAGTACAACAATTAATGACTAAAGGGTTGATATCCAACGCTTTGATATTTCATGTCATGGAGAATATTTGTAGCTCAGGATGTGGATATTGAAGTTGTTGTGATCTTTGAGCTGAACGGATTGGTTGTGAACTTTTTATTTTTCTTGTGTTTAAAAACTGGATTTTCCAACTATTAAGCTCTAGGATTACGCAAACGCAGCCTATCACATTAATGAGTGCATCAGATTTACATACATATACATACAACTTATCTTAACACGATTTTCTCAACTTTTCACACCAAATGTCTCATAATCACTACAAGAAATCTCATTTTCTCCTATGTTAACATGATTGGTCAATTTGTTCAGGATACAGTTAACCGGCAAACCATATAATTATATTCGATAATTTTCATGTTTGATTGTATTTCCTTGAAGGATCTTGAACCAGGTTGTCGAGCGAAACATTGGTTTTACCTAGAGCTCATTCGCCCAGACTTACAAATATAGTTTTCCTCCTTAACAGATCATTAAAAATTTTAACAATAAAAATATAGCAGAAATAATATCGTGAAGATAATTTAATCATTTTTATCATTTTGAAACCCTGGATTCGTTGGATTGAACATACTTACATATTGATAATTAATTACCTATACTGGTTTTAGTTGAAGCAAGCGGAGAATCTATCAGCTTACGACATGCTGCTATAATATTGAAAAAAAATTATGTAGGACTGGTTACTGTTGCTTCATCACAATTAACCAATTGATACAGTTTTCGTTAGAGGAAGGAGATTTACATTTATCATGAAAAACTAGATAAAATGAGTTCAACCTAACACTTATCGTTTGATCGTACTTCCTTTCATTTATTCATAATGTTATCTCCTTATTTGTGTAGTACGTAAATTATCGGTGCACTACTGTATACGATTTGATATGTATTAAATAAATTAAGTGTTATGGTGAAATATCGACTTAAACAATGTCAATTAATTATTTCTCTTCTATATTTGATAAATTAATTTTTATACAATATTAATTAACTTAAAATTATCAAGTGAATTACCTATTTAATTTTTTCTACTTTTCAAGGGTTCTCTAGCTATAATGTGCTTTTGTTTCTTAGTTAAAAATAAACACATTCAACTTAAAAAGTTTTCTTTTAAACTAGTTTACACATGATACCTTGGAATTCTTATTGTTCAACTATTACCAGTATAGTTTTTCAAGTGCATTAAAAATCAGATAGAAATTAGTGCTTTATCATTTTATCATTTCCTATACAAGATAAATTTTAAGATTTCCACCTACCAGTTATAAATTGTAAAATTTAATATTTATCCTTATCTCTCTGATACTGTTATAACTAAGTATTTAAAATATACTGGCTTATTGGTTAAGGTGTTAAACTTTCAACTGCCAAGTCCAAGATTCAAACCCACCTCCTCCTATTTCACTTGGGGCAACCGGATAGTATCATTAATTTAAACACTTCGAGTGTGGCTCATATTTACGTACCTGTTTAATGAGTTTGATTATAATCATATACATTCGTTAGAAGTTTTGGATTAATAAATTAAGTAAATAATTCAGTTTGTTCAATCTATTTCTAAGATAAAAAGATAGATATCATCAACATAGATTTTGGCACAGATGTGTGTTGTCTAAAGTTGCTACATTGGATTAGGAAAAGGCGATAAAAGTAACAAAATCGTCCAAATAATGTAGTAGCAATGATATGAAGAAAAGTTTGACTTTGGGATACAGCTTGAAATATATATACGAAGAGAAACTGGAGTTGACGATCGATAGGGAAGGTGAAGGGTGAATAGATGTGATTTATCGTGAACGATTGTGAGCTATACCACCTAAATTACCTAACCACTGATTACAGTTATCTCATGGATCTCAACTAGGTAGTCAACATCTGCCAGAATGGCTCAGCCCAATAGTCAATGAACTGATACCACATTTTGTTTTAGTTGTATCTAACTTTTTTCGAACCTAGTACGTCATTAACAAGCATTGCTCATGGACGTAGGCGGTGGTTAAGCCTACTTAACATATTTCTTGATCATCTTGGTCGATAAGTATTTACCACCTAAGAATAACACTTAACAGAAATTTATTCCACTTTCAATGATAAAAAGTCATTAATAATTTATGCATAGCTTTGTACAATTGTTTTTAAATGGTTAATGTGAAATTATTATTTAACCATACCGATGTATTGGGACCCCACATATTAATGCTACCATTGTTATCATCGTCATCATCAGTACACATACTGTTTTTTCTAGCGGTGTTTGTAATTATACTATTAATGCAATTGAAGTCAATGTTTTATTCACAGTTATGTGTGAGTGAGAGAGAATAAGACTTATTAGACCTTTAGTCATTGAACGAACCGCTTAGATAATTATATGAATATTTATAAATTTTTATGCAATAAATAGTTCATTTTGTTTTATGACTTGAACATAAGCTGCAGTGAAACATTTTATTTATTTACATTAGTCGTTTGAATCTTCCCGTTAATGTTATGGACTACAATTAAGTAATCTTTTTCTATATATTGTTCACCTGTCCGGATAGCCTCGATATTGACATTAAGTCACAAGCATTTTAAGCATCGTTCAATGGTGGCTATCGGTGAAATCTAGGACAGGCGCCTGGTTCTGTTAAGTATTCATCAGCTGCATGTACCTGCACCCCATTGTGGATGTTCATACCGGGACTCGAACTCAGTATCTCCGGCTTCAAACGCCCAACCTCACACATTGCTAACTTTAATGTTGGGGATGCTAAATCCCCAGAAATCACTTGGTAAACGTTTTATTTTCGTAATTTTATTTTGAAAATTTAAATCCCTCGCTCTCGCTTTAAAGACATCCATTCTTACCTTCAGGTTGTATTTCCCACTTGAAAGGACCATAAATGTCATTAGCTCGTTCCCTCTTTTAACGCGCTATTTTGCGCTCTATGCATATACACTTGCATTGTGTGGTTGTCATTGTTTGTTTTTCTGTCTGCTTGTGGGATGTACCTTTCCCTCATGTGAACCATGTCTTCTCTGTCTAACTAACGGGGCTGGGTTGCATCGGAATATTTAAGCTTATCTTGTCACTGTGTCTCTAATCCTTCGTTCCGTTCACCGATCAGGTGATCTCGTAATCTTTTCAAACATAGCACTTAATTATCAAATTTGATTAGTTATTATTAAAAAATAAATTGTGTAGTTATTGTTGTGTATTTTGTCTACTCACATTGTGAGTATGACTAAAAATAGAACTTAACCACTGCTAATAACAATAATTATAGTAATGGTAACAATACTTAATCATGAATACACACTGTTAAGGTGTCCTATACATTATTATTAATGTACAATGTAGCAATATCATTCAGTTTATGTTCCTCGTTTCAAATAGAAATAATTTGTAAAAAATGACCATCAACTGTGAGTGTACATAAATAATTCACACACACACAAAACTCCCTAATGTAAGTGAACTTTCTTTGTTTGTCTTTTCATATTTTAAGAGAGTTCAGGGTAACATATAAACCTCTGATAGACTAGAAGCATATATATCGTTTATAGCAAACAATGATATTGTAAATGATATTAATGAGTCATACCACTCACCTAAAATAATAGTAGTACAAGGTTAGATGAGACAGTGAAGAATGTCATATATTAAATACAAATTGTTCTTATTGAATATAAATATTGCTTCCTAATTGTTTTTTGTAAATGTTATCAGTTAAGGCTTGTAAAATAGTACTTTATTGAGGTTGTCGTCTCAGGATGTACATATAGCAAACATGATTGATTATTACAGTCCAAAGTATAAAAAAAGGAATAGTTTACAAATATTTCATATCTTCATACCTGTTGAACAAGTTAGTGACTATTTGGACTCATTAGCCCAATAATTGATGCGTTGGGTGTTTAAAGCAATATAAACTAGATTCAAATATTCGTGTAAGAATATACACTGGAATACCAGTGCATACAACTGACGAGTCCCAAATAAGAAACACGCATCCTGAATTATACTACTTGCTATGTACTAAATACACCAAAACTTGTAACACAACGCTATTGTCGAAGTAATCCGATGATAATGCACCTATGATACTTGAAACTGATCATTTGTAGTCTTAAATATCAACAACAAGGAATTATAGAGGCTTACTGCTGTATCAGTTAGTTTTAATGTTTATTAAAGATTAATTTTACAACTCAAGCATTTTATTATAGAATTATTGTAAATTATTCACAGAATAGTAGTGTGATTACTAGTCTAAAGTGTTAGTAGTCAATTGATTGGCTACTTATCTAATCAGAGGTTCGTTTCAACTATTAGAACCCGAGTGTTTTGTTAGTGGTATCATTCGACATTATACAATCGATAGAGCTTATTACAAATAAATAGTCCTATTATATATGAAAACATCTTAGAAACTATCACATGGATTTTAAAACCCTTCAAAATCAGAATCAATTAAAAGACAACACACTATCTTATACAAACTAGCAGAGGGCAAATGAAATATTCTTGTCAAAATAAATTGTATTGATTGCGATAATTACCACATTAGGTAGATCGATTCGTAATCAGTAGAGATGTCGATAAACCATATTTACCAATCAATATTATAAAGGACGGCCAATCGTATGATCAAAGCTCAACAAAGCAAGACAGTCAAAAAGAATACAAAGTCAATAAGGTTGAAAACACCTCTTTAGACAGATACTCACGGACAATCCGATGGAAGGTAACTTTAGACTTCAACAGATTGTTCTTAATTTTGAGTTTATGTAAAGCTTCTTTATGTTCCATAGTCAAAATACTCTGCAAGGTTATGTTTACTACTGAAGTATTTATAGAAGTTTTCTATTTTCTGTTAACCCTTTATTTTCAACTCATCTTTGTTATTATACTGTTTTCTATTGTTTTAGATCTTCTGCTTTATCTGTCTCCAAGTTAATTTTTACTCTTATTCATACTTCTTTTTTTCTTTGTGTGTGTTCTGATTTGACAAAGTGTGAACCATTAACTAAGTTATTTCCCAAGTGAATATTACCTGGTGAAGTAAACTACGTGAGGTTGTTATTTCAATTTTGTGCCTTCTAACCTATGAAAAGAACCATAACAAATGATTGTACAATGATTACCTTTTGTGCATAAATATGGTGTAAATGTATGAATTTTCTTACCAGTGTGTTTTGGAGTTATCTCCAATCATTCGTTTTATATTCTAGATAATATTGTGTATAAAAGTTTGTATATGATGCTACTTGATATTAGCGTAGTCGTGTTCAGTAGACCAAAGAGTAAAGCAATAACATTTAAGTAAAGAATCAATTTGAATAAAATATATCGTTGATTTCGAGGTTAAAGTTAAACTCTGGTTAAATTATTCAGTCTCTTGTAACTTTTTCAGTCGCTTTAAAGTGTAAAACGCATGAGTTAACATTTTAGCAGTTTATTTCAACAGTTAACCAGTTGGATATACTGTTATATCCGAGTGTAGATTAAATTATGGGTAACTCCTGAGAATTATTTATGAATTAATTTTATACATATTTTCTTATATAACTGTTAAGAAGTGAAACTATATATATTCCTCTTATTATATGCTTTTATTTGACCTATTGGTTACTGTTATATGATTTACTATTCTCAAGTTATTCTCAATTTATTAGTAACAGTCTCTCACACAGCCATTTTTGGCTTGATCCTGTACAAGTGCTATTTTTATTTTACGGTATGATGTGGTCTGGTTTGCTTGTATATAAACCAGGTATGTTATAAATAGATGATGATTCGTATAATGAAAGCTGATGTTGGTGTTCTGGACTTAACAAGTAGGGCTAGGCGAGAAGGACCAATATGGAATTTAGGCTGCTCATACCGGTCAATACGTCATTGATTTGGCACAGTACTAAGATTGTATAAGTCGTATTCAGATTGGCAACTAAATCACTTGATGTATTTAACCAGCCAAAGTTTCAACAAATTTGCGATGGGAATTTCGCGAAAAAAAAACAATTGGTGACGTGGATTTCAGACAAAAATAAGCTATAATAATTGCCGGTGATTTTTGGAGTTAATATTAACATAAGCAGTAAAAAAAGGCACTATCTTCAGAACAATTGTAGTTATTACAATATCAGCAAAAGGCGTTAACTTCTCAACAGTAAGTCTTCGAAGCAGTTTTAAGGAAACTTTCAATTCAACAAGAGATTCCAGAACATAAAGATCTAGAGTCGTATCTCAATTCAATTCCAGAATGTATTTCTAATGCAGACAGTGGTCACACTTTTGAAGCATGGTTCGGCAGAATAGAAGATATTTTCCGCTACGTATAAGGCAAAGAATGTCCGGCTGCTGTTACAGAAGCCTGGTCCTAATGAGCATCAAAATTATAAAAACTATATCCTGCCTAAATATCCACAAGAAATTAGTTTCGATGAAACTTAACAATTTAAATAAAATGTTCTGTGAACAGATGTCATTATTTCGTATCCGATATAACTGTCTACAGCTGACTAAAGAAGCTGATGAAGACTACACTACATACTCCGGAAGAGTAAATTTACAAGCAGAACGATTTAAATTAAATGTATTAACTAGCGATCAATTTCAATGCTTATTATTCATTTCTGGGCTGAAAGTTATTATTCAAATGCATGAGATAAATTATAAAGTTATTTGTTATAATCATATTCATACAAATGATATTGGATATTGTACTCTTGAAATATGTTGTTTTGGGATATAATTTTCTTTCAGTGAAAAAGAATTTCAATTATTTTCCCGGCTGACTTTTATTAGTAATAATCTATAGTATGAAGAAAATAGATGAGAGTCATCTGTTATGTATTCCTTTATTGTGTTTGGTTGAGGTTGAGACATAACATGTTATGCTCTCTCTCTCTCTTTATATATATCGTAAATTCTACCATTACCCATGTAGAAAAGTGTACAGTCATTTTCTTTTCCTGACATTTATTCGTCTTGCATATGTATTGTACTTTTATTATAATACGTATAATGTGTGAACGATGTCTCGTCAAAATAGATTTTTCATACTTTTTCTAAAACATCATCCGGTAATTTTGCCATATTTTGATAAAATGAAATGAAGAATCCAGAATAGTTCACTTAATTCATACTTTGTATATAATTTCTTGTATTGATTTATATTTCTCTGCTCGAATCATTAATGACTGACAGTAAACATGAACTGACTACCCATTGTGATTAATTCGAGATTATATTAACTAATAACACTAACAAGAATAAAGTATATTGTATTAGGAGTTATATTTTTTAGACAGTTGATTTGTTTAAACTGATTTAATTCTGTCTACATACTTGATAGAGAAATATCAGTTGAAGTAACATGTTTTTAGTTTTTACATGACACTATTCGGTAATAGATGTATGGTAAAATATCGGCCAGTGAGTCTTTGAAAACTACGGTACATTGTACTTTATTATCGAAACGTTTTCCTTTGAACCAGAGTATTATTTGAGTATATATATTCCATTTATCATAAGTTTTCGGTTAACTCATTATTTTATGTTATAGGATTCACTATTTTTCATTCGTTGTTAATCTATTACTTACAGTCTCCTCTATCCACAGCCACTTTTGCCTTGTTTATTTGTAATTATTATTTTTCGTTATATGGTGTGATGCAATCTGTTGTCTGTATGTAAATCATGTCGGTTTGAGATATAAATATAGTTAGAGCTGGTCCTTGAATTTTGGACTCAAGACAGAACGTAGATAGGAGCTTACGAATAGTGGACGTATAGGGACTTAGGTGGGTGTGCTCAAGGTTACTAGTGCTGGTTTGCCTTATAATTGTTTAATTTGGGGATACTAGGCTATTGAGGAAATACTAAATTAAAAATAGACCAAATTAGAATCAGGATTCTGACTTGTTACTTGGTACGTAATATTGGTCAGCAGTCAAAAGGTATAACAAAGGAACATATGGAAGATCACAACCATCTTTTTGCAGTGTCTAATAAAAGTGCGAACTGTAGAATTTTTTCGTTCATTAACTGGGTCAGTACCGCATATAAAAGTATAATTTTCACTAAGGATCTCATTTCAGTCATCCACATCTATCTACTCATGTCTTCACTGAACAAGATACTGTAATGTATCTCAACTCACCGAATGAAAAAAGCTTTAAATGAAATTCTCAGTGAAAATTATATTCAACGCCCACTCACTAAATAAATTAGGAAACGCTAGATATTTCACACATATTAAACATTGAAAAGTTGATACGCCACTAATTCACTAACATAATCCTTCACAAAATACTTGACCAGAATAAGAAAAATTTTTGCCTAAAAGTTTAAATAAATCCACATAGATGTTATAACAGAAGCCACCATAATACTATGTTTTTTGAATATATTTTCTAGCTTATTCTATTTACTTTCACATTTAGGTGGCTGGTGAAGGTGATTTAAGTGAGAATGCTTTGTCCAACGTACAAACAGTTACATCTGATCATAATATGCTTTCTGTGGATATTGAAGAAAGCAGTTTAAATAACCAACAAAATATAACAGAAAGTTCATTATTTAAGCATAGTAATGCTTCATTAACAGCTCCATTATCACCATCCACTGGAAGAGAGTCTAGTCATCATACCCAACAAATAAGTGATGGCAATGATGAATCAGATTCAATCGGACCAATACCTCCAATTACAAGTCGTCCAGGTCCATTGCCTGGATCACGTAGGCTACATTTATCACATACTGGTCGTATAGCTCAGCATAGAGCTAGTGTACCAACGGCTAATACTATCACTACTAATTCCGATGTTACTGGTTGTGGTAGTAATCCTCTTTCTCTATCCGAGTCAACAAGCAGTATCGTAAAATCATCTGATTCACCAAAAAATCTCACACAACATTCTTTAATTGATTCTATCAGTGCAGAAAATTCTAACGATATTCAAGATCGTTCACTTCAGTCTCATGCACATTATCATCGTCATCCGGAATCTTGTTGTGTAGCTGCTCGTAATGAAGTGGAACGTTTACACAAAGAGAATAATGAATTAAAAGTACAATTATCTGATTTACAAAATAGTAAAGATATTGTAGAACAACGTTTAGAAGATTTGGAAGGACGTATAATTCAACTAGATTCTATTGTTCAAGTTTTAAAAGAGGAAAAAGTTAGTGTATATTTTTTGTTCTCGTTTTTTTCTAATATATTCTAAATTTTTGTTACTATAAAATCATTACTTAGTTCAACATACTAATTATTAACAATACAAGCTATTATAATCAAAGCATTTTAACGATTGTTGATTGTAGTATTAATAACAACAATTAAAGTGTGATTCGGGGCCTAGGACAAAACTTCTTATCTAGTAAACTAGTTAATAACCGTAATAATACTATCTAAGATTATTTAGATAGGTTTAATATGGGGATAGTTTTTATCCTGAATCGATTTTAGTTAATGAACTTTTTCAGATTACAGAACATTGGACTGTTGTTTCATCCAAATTTAGCCCCAAGCCCTTCTATCCTTCTCGTATGTTCTGTTATGACTTTTACGCCTTGTTAATTATCACGTGAAAAGATGTCCAATCACAACACGACTTATACAATTTTAGCACTGTGACAAACCAACGACGTGTTGACCAGTATGGGCAACCCAGATTCCTTATTGGTCCTCTCCTAACCCTGCCTTATGAGTCCAGAACACCGACATCAGATTCCATAATACGAATCTTGTAATACGAATCATCATTTATTTACAACATACCTGGTTTATATACAAGCAAACCAGACCACATCATACCGTAAAATAAAAATAGCACTTGTACAGGATCAAGCCAAAAATGGCTGTGTGAGAGACTGTTACTAATAAATTGAGAATAACTTAGAAGTAGTAAATCGTATAATAGTAGTCAATAAATCAAATAGAAGCTTATAACAAAAGGAATACAAATGTACATATAGTTATTTAATAGTTATCCAATAGGAATATATGTAATAATATTCTATAAGCAAATCCTAGCAGTTACCATTCCCTTATTTTTCGGTAGGATATAAAAAGTTCGCTGTTTCAGTCCGAAAATATATGACATACTACAGCCGTACAACACAGCTCAGTTTTGTAGCAGCCTCATATATTTTGCTCGAAATTTGAAGTGTATTGATATATGATGTGTACGTTATCATTAATGAAGTGAACATTAGATATATTAAGTTCTCAAAATACTTAAAGCAATTAAAATATCTATTATGCAACCAAGAATTGATTGTTAGATGACAGTTAAGCTAAATTACAAAACATACCTGCTTCTAAGTTAGATTGTGTGTTAAAGTACCTGATATGATTCAATGTACATGATCACGAGTGTTCTGTGAATCTAGATAATATTCTCTCTGTTTTACTTTTTAAATCTCAACCCAAAATTTCTCAAGTGTGTAAACAGAATGGTGGCAAAGCATTGCATTATAGTTGATGTCAGTTCGTGTTAAAAACGCTGTTCGCTATTTGTAAATCTAACTCAAAACTCCAGTTTTATTCTTAATAACTAACCCTAACTTTTTCGCATTATTATTGATGTCAGTCGGTGACGAAAACTCTATTGGGTGATAACCCTAAATTACAACAGTGACCCGACTTCTAATGTGGGTAAATATAATCTTTATTCTTTACTACAAGGGATAATTGGACATGTGAAGATTAATTATCACGATCAAAGCTGTTATTTCATTGCTTTGTATAGCTAATTGCTTTATAACCAGGCAGTGTTTCTTGATTGGTTGGTGTATTTTAATTTTACCGCCTAATCAACACAATCACTAAAACTGGACTACCATCCTTAGAGATCTCCAGAGTCTCATTAAGAGTTGAGATACTAGTGTCAGTTTATCATTCAGGTAGATTAAGGATAGAGGTTAACTGTAAGGTAATTGGGTAGGTCAGATGAGCTGTTCCCTAAAGTTTTCTATCCATATATCTTACCTGCTAAATTGTGAGTGAATAACACTTTTGTCGTTATTTTGAGATAGTCTCATTAACACTTGCTATTTTAATACCTGTTTTATTGATCAGTCGGTTGAGTTGTTTAATGTTACTTGAATTAGTATCACTTCAACTACACCGTTTTAATCATAATTCTTAGACATTGATTATCAGTAATTTACCAATTTTGTGTCGTTAATTCAAGAAATTACTAATATTTGTTTTTAAAAAATAAATAGAAAGGCTTTCGGGTTATTAACATTTAATTTGATAATAAAATATTGAACCACATGAATTAATTCAGTTTTATGAGTTGTTAAAAGAAAGTATTCAATCACTGAGTGTTCAGTCGATTTTGTAAATAATTTTTTTAATCTTTTACATTAATTGTCCGAAAAGAAAAATAAGATGATCTAATTATTCCTTGAATGTGAATGTATTTATAACAAACGCTTCATATTCTTAAGAATAACGAAAAATGTAGTCTGATATACTTTTTTACTCCTGTTACCCCTTGTGGAGGAGTATAGACCACCCACTGGGATTCTCCATCGAACTCTGTCTTGGACAATCCTTTCCAGTTGTTCCCAGTTCCTATTCATTCTTTTGATGTCTACTTCAGATTCCTGACGCAGTGTGTTCCTTGGCCTTTCTCTTTTCCTTTCCCTTCGGCGTTCCAGGTTAGCGCTTGTCTCCTGATAGAGTCTGTTGATTTCTTCAATGTATGTCCTATCCACCTTCAGAGCCTTTTCCTAATTCCTTACTTAGTTGGAAGCTGGTTTGTTCTCTCCTACAATAGGCTGTTGCTGATGGTATACGGCCAACGGACATTGAGTATCTTGCGTAGACTATTGTTTAAAAAGACTTTACCTTTTTGATGATGATTGTAGTAGTTCTAGAGGTTTCAACTTCGTACATCAGGACTTTCTTGACATACTTATTGAGGATTCTGACTTTGATGTTGGTTGACAGTTGTTTTGGGTTGCGTATATTCTTCAACTATAAGAATGATGTCATTGCTTTACCAATCCTCGCCTTTACGTTCGCATCAGATTCTCCAAGTTCATTAGTGATGCTACCCAGATACATGAAACTTTCCACCTCTTCCAGAGTTTCTCCATCATGTGAGATTTGGTTGATGTTCACCGTGTTGTATCTGAGGGTCTTGCTTATGCCCTTATGTATATTGAGGCTTACTGATGCAGAGGCTGTTGTTACATTGTTTGTCTTGATCTGCATTTGTTGATATGTATGGGATAGAAGGGCCAGTTCATCGGCAAAGTTCAAATCGTCTAGTTGCATCCAGGCTATCGATTGTATTCCGTGCTTCATTTCAGATATGGAGGTCTTCATAATCCAACCAACCGCCAGAAGAAAGAAGAAGGGGGAGAGTAAGCAGCCTTGTCTAACACCAATCCTTAGTTTGATATATTCATTATTAGTCGAACGTATTTATTATTTTCTTTCTTAAATTGGAATTTTCCAATAACTGTCAACTGGTTAGGATTTTATTTTGACTATTTTGAGGATAAAGATTTAGACAGGATGAAATAAATTCATTTTATTTTGTTATGTTATCATTATCTACTTACAACCTGTTGTATTTAAACATAATCATCACAGAATGGGTTGAAATTGCCTACACAATTGAGTTCAATTATGCTTTATATATCTTTCTATCTTAATGACTGCATGAACATGACCTGACAAAATGACATGCACCATGACGCCAGTGTTGTTGACTGTGTAATTTTTCTCTCTATGAGTGACTTAATTGAAAAATGTAATGAAGTGCATGTCGCTAGTTTGGAACCAAGATTGAATTAATGATTGACTGAGGGAACTCTCAAACCATCTTGTCTTCCCAGACTACCTCAAGGTGGCATCATACTTGAGGAAAGTTAACTGTAGGTATTCTGAAGAAATTCTATTGAGGATCATCTTGGTTTGATGTGATTCTGTGAACCAGAATACTGGCTGGAAACAATGTGTTAGCTGCAAGGGTAGCGTTGAAGAGAATCTTTATCAATTATCACAGCTACCACCTGTCGATACTGTTAAGTTTTACGATTGTCCACAGTAATTTTTAACGAAAAACAGTTGAGATTCTTTTAATACGAACAAGATCTAGTGCGAACTATATCCTTACAGAAAAGAGATAACATTTATTAACGAAAATCAAGATAACCTATAGTCTCTTCAGCAAAATAAAGTTCTGAAATATCCTGAATTTATTATTGTTTGTGGCAAAATATTGTGTAATATCCCTGTTACTTGAAATCTTGATACTTACTTTCTAGGTTACTCGAATAATCCTAGACCTTAATGCTGAGAGTAAAGAAATAATGCGAAGTAAGAGTAGAAGTTTTACTAAAAAGTTTATTCTTGTGCAGAAAACAACAATATTTGTAAGTTTATTGGTAGCCTTTAAATTCGAGAAACTCCTGGAAGCATACCAAATTAAGCAACAAAATAAGTATTCATACAACCAAAGTCTGATAAGTAGTCTGTCGAATCTCTAAACATCTTCGTACCATATGCTGTTTAGACCAAATATTATCAGCCGTTATCTGGCTTCTAAAGATCTTATCGATGAATTCTTGTAGCATCCTAGCGAAATTTAATTAATATACGTTGTTATAGTGGTAGAAATGTTTTTGAATTGGGGTAAGGATGAGATATCAATGAATTTATTATCAACTTACAAAGAGCATCTTGTGTTGTGTGCTTCTATACTCACAACGTTTGTTTTGATATGTTCATCTTTACTACTCATGTCTGTGAAATTTCCATCTTATCACTATTTTTGTATATATTTCTGTCTATCAAATTCTGTGTATATAGCTATCACCATGGAGTATATTTTGTGAGATTTCATTGAAACTATTGATATATTTGTTTGGTCTATTCATAACGATGGTTGTAAGTAGTGGTGATGATGTCTTTATTTTTTGTTTTGCCTCTCAATTTGTTTGTTTCTGTGCTGGTCTATGTATTCATTTAAATACATACAACTGTCACTGTACTTTTCTCATAATAAAATCTATGTTTTAATAATCGTTTATTTGTACTACTTATAACAGTAGAGTCATCAATTTTGTATTCAACTCCATAGCATGTTTTATTTCTTTTGAAAATAACTTTTTGTATTATGAGCTAATGTCATTCGATTAACTTGTAAACTGAGTA